GTGATGCTTCCTAAGGCCCACTTGACTTCACATTCCAGGATGTCTGGCTCTAGATGAGGGATCACACCATGGTGATTATCTGGGTCGTGAAGATCTTTTTGTACAGTTCTTCTGTGTATTCTTGCCACCTCTTCTATAGGGAGAACTAATTTTACTGTGAATCATTACACTTGTTTCTTCAAACCAAGGACCAACAAGAAAGAGCGAGCAATCCCATGATATGCAATGATATTCTAGAAATTTTTCTGGAAGACTGGTCTAAATTTCTCTTTTATTCATTTTTCCAACTCACTTTCTGCCATCTCTCACCACTCCTGCCAAAATCACCATGAGAAGAATCATCGTACAGCTTTGAGCCTGAATATCATAGAGGTAGACTTGACAGGTTGTTAATTTAGCAAGCAAGATACGTGGGTGAAGAGAAAAAAAGAAAAGGCCAAATACAAGGCTGTATAAAAGTGCTGGGAAGACTTTTCCCTCTGCCGATGGCTTCCTTTGCTGGCAGAAGCTTTTTATTGTGTTACAGTCCCACTTGTCCAATTTTACTTTTTTTGCCTGTGCTTTTTAAAAGTTTTGGTTATTGCCAAAACTGATGTCATGAAGCTTTCCTCCTATTTTTTTTGATATATGTTTTACAGTTTCAATTCTTACATTTGTACTTAATCTATTTTGAGTTGAATTTTTGTGGATGGTTTATTATAAACATCAAATCTTACTCTTTTGCATGTAGAGATCCAGGTTCCCCAACACCATTTATTGAAAAGACCACTTTTTCCCCATTGTATACTCTTGGTACCCTTGTTAAAGATTAGTTGACTGTATATGCATGGACTTATTTCTGGGGTCTCTAGTTTGTTCTATTGCTCTATGTGTCTATGTTTATGCAGTACCATACTTTAATAATTACTGTAGTTTTACAATATAATCCAACAGTCCCAGTTCTGGAGATTTATTCAAAAAATTAAAATCAGGGTCTTAAAGAGAAATTAGCACCCCCATGTTCATCAGAGCACTATTCACAATAGCCAAGCGTCCCTGATGGTTCTGATGGTGAAGCATCTGCCTGCAGTACCGGAGACTCAGGTTTGATCCCTGGAGAAGGGAATGGCTGTCCACTCCAGGATTCTTGCCTGGAGAATTCCATGGACAGAGGAGCCTGGGAGGCTACAATCCACGGGGTCACAAAGAGTCAGACACGACCGAGTGACTAACACTAACTCCTGACCGAGCTGTAGAAACAACCTAAATGTCCATTAGGAGATAAATGGGAGAAAATGTGGTATATACTTACAATGGAATATTGTTCAGCCTTAAAAAAGAAGGGGTTCCTGTATTATGTGATAACATGGATGAATTTTGAGGACATTATACTAAGTGAAATAAGCTAGTCATTGAAGGGCAAGTACTTCATGATGCCACTTACATGAGATATCTAAATTAGTCCAAGTCAAGTCACAGAAGCAGAATAGAATGATGGCTTTCAAAGGCTGAGGAAAGGGAGAAATAGGAAGTAGGCTATTCAATAGATAGAGAGTTTCAGTTATGCAATATGATTAAGTTCTAGAGATCTGCTGAGCAATATTGTACCTCTAGCTAACAATACTATACTATGCACTTAAAAAATTACTAAGGTTAGATTTCATGTTAAGCGTTTTAAGAAGTTTTTTTAAAAGTGCTAGGAAGAGGTCAACACAGGAGTCTCTGGGAACATGGAAGAAAGGAACCTGCCCAAGTCTGGATGTGGTAAGGCCAGTAGCCAAACACTTCAGTTGAAATACAGCATTTGAGTGATTTTTGAAGACTTCATATAATTTAGCTAGAAGAAAAACAAGCAGGTAGGCAAAGAGACTTCAAACTCATAGGAAACTCATCTCAGGGAATAATGCCAATATGGATCTGTGCATGTTGACTGATTGAAGTGTGCATTCCTAACCCAGATGTTAAAGCAACACTCCTAACTCTTCTGAGCTTTTGGATCAATGCTGTCAAAACATGTGATAACCCAGTTGACATCAAATAGGTGCAAAGGATCTCAGGGCTGTAGTGCAGGCTGCTGAGAGGGCATTTGTCTAGCTCTGGGCACCAAAAGTTCCCCAGTATGGGGACTGGCTGTGTGAGCTCCAGCTTAGACCCGATGGAGTTGGGCTGACTGGATCTCATTTCTCCAAGAGCCTGAGTGATTTCTTGCTGAAGGGTTTCTACTAGAAAAATCCTCACTTTCTGGAGCTCTAGGAGAAGAGTTGACTGGGGTGCTGCTTCCTTGCCTCTGTGCAAGGAGGTTCTTGAGCTGGGTGTAATTACTTTGGATTTTGTAGTTGTAATTTTGTAATTGTAGAAGTATCAATTTTTTAAATGAGTTTTGTTATTATATGTAGAATATATGTGGTATAGTTATGAAATTGAAACTATAGAAAAGAATAAAAAATTAATAATTAACATTATTAATCTTTTGATAAATTTATTTCCATCTTTTCCTGTATATGTTTATTTTTACAAAGTTGAAATTATACTCAGTATAATTTTATATGTTGATTTTTTGTTTGTTTGGTTTCTTTTAAATTGCAGTATAGCTAATTTACAATGTTGTGTTAGTTTCAAGTGTATAGCAAGGTGATTCAGTTATGCATATATATACATATTATTTTTCAGATTATTTTCCATTATATATTATTACAAGGCATTGAGCATAGTTCCCTGGGCTATATAGTAGGCCCTTGTTTTGTTTTGTTTTTTTCCTTTAATCTCTTTTATATATAGTTGTGTGTATCTGTTAATCCCAAATTTCCAATTTATCTTCTCCATATACCTCCTGCTGTCCATTCTGGTAACCATAAGTTAGCTTTTTATGTCTGTGAGTCTCTTTCCATTTTGTAAATAAGTTTATTTGTATCATTTTTTTTTTATTCTACATATAAGTGATCCCATATGATATTTTTTCTTATATATATTGATTTAAACTTAATGTTATATGATATTTTCATATTCTTTACTTCATGAGCATGTAATGCCTATACAATATTTTATAGCATATATGCAGTATAAAATATTTAAATACTACTTTATCCCTGGACGATAGTTATTTTCCATTTTTTTGCATCTTATAAATAATTCTGGTGAACATCTTAAGACTCAAGGTCTTGCCCTCATTTTCAATTACTGTTTGAGTAGAGTCCTAGACTTTCTGGTTCAGAGAGTTGATGTTTCTAAGACATCCTGTAACTAATTTGAAATTGTTTTCTAGAGAAGTTGTATAGATTTATGCTTTCACAACTGTGCGTGGGGAAACAGCAAATTGTGGTCATATCATGCATTAGCCTTTTGTAATCTCACAGAAGAAACAGAATCTCATCCTTTTCTAAACATGCATGCATTTTCCAGTTACTAAATATTCTGTGTGTTTATCACCCATTTTTATTTTCTCTTTTGTGAAATGCCTTTTAAGTGTCCTTTTTCCTTTCTTTCTAAGTTTTTATTACTAAGTTACGTGAGTTTAATATATAATAGCAGTATTAACTCTTGTGTCATACTTTAACAGATATTTTCCCCATTTAATAATTACCTTTTAAATGAATCTTTAATTTTGAAAACATAAATATTCATAATTTATACACAGTCAAGTCTTTGATCATTCTTATAACTTATTTAAATAGCTCTTAATCAAAAAATATATCCCCATTAGAGATTTTACAAGTGTTTGCTTCTATTTTTATTTCGACATTACTTTCAATGAACCCCTAATCATAAGCCATGTAGAATTCATTTGCTGTGGCTAGGACACGACTGAAGTGACTTAGCAGCATCAGCAACAGTGGTGTCAAGATCTAAATGCAGCATTGGTTTTTAAAATTTTTCTGGTCTGTTCTTTGCATTATCTTTAAATATTAACTGCTTTGTCATTTTATCTTATGGGCTTTTTTTTTAAAGTAATTTTAATTCACCAGCTTATGTTTCAGATATAATAGAGTTTCTCTTCTCTAGACTTTCTTTTCAAAATTTTACCTGTTTACCAAACTTTTATGGATGGCCATCTCTAGGCATTGACTCAAGGAGAAACTCTGAAGACCAGCTGTATCTCTCAGAATGTTCAGTGCATATTTGGCTATGCAGCATTCCTCATAATCCTTTCGAGTAAAGCTTCTCTTGATTTTATACAAATCTTTTAACTTTAAATTCTTTATCTGAATAATCCAAAAGATCTATAGGCTGCATGCATTTTTTAAAATAATATGCAGAGAATGAAAAACCACACTTTAAATGTCAGTTAGATTTGTTTAAGCTTTCATATTCCTGGAAGTGGTACACAA